TTCTGACCCTCAATTTTTGGTCAACCAGATTCAACGGTGGGAAACTTGGAGTGAAAGTGTTGGTCTTCTTGAAAGCAAAACTAAGACTCAGCTCACTGGAGCTACGCAACTGTGCCGCACCAGGTTGGCTTCGGTTGCCACTGAACCTGCCAAGGTTCAAAGTTCTTTCGAAATCTTGGGATGTTGCGCTCAAGTTTCCAGGCGTACTGAATCCACTAAGGAAAAGAAGAGACTTGCTGCAGGTCACAGAACACTTCAGTTGATTGGGAACCTGGGGTAGCCGTTTGAGAGGTTTTTGCGTGCGGCACAATCTCATGCTTTATCTAAATGCACCTATGGTTGGCTTGCTCGTTTGCCTACCTCCACGTCCAGCTGGAAATGCTGGGCTCAGGTGCGAAGAGCTCAGAGGGTTCACCAACAGGCTAACAAATATCTCCGGGCCATTATTTTTGGGGGGAATTGCCATCTTGACATGTTGGTTGCTTCTAACCTCATCAGAGTTGTTGCTCGTCTTTTGCAAAGACGGTGTGTCCGATGGGCAGATCGATCCACTGGCGGCAGTCCAGTGGCCACTCTGCACAAATGGTTCAGTTTGCATGGGTTTTCGGCCGCACGGCCTTGGACCTGGATTTCTGACCATGTATCTTTTAAGGTCGATCTTCAAAGAATGCCGATTAAGAATGCTCAGCATGCTGCTCGCCAAGGGTGGCGTTGGCACCTTTGGCAGAAATTCCTGAATTGTGGTCGCCATGAGTGCGACGAAGTGCGCCCGCTTTCTCTTCAGCAGTTTGTTGATATTGACTTTAAGAAAGTGAGACAGTCCGCGATTGATCACACTTTTCGTGCTGTGTGCACGGGAGCGATGCTTTCCCCAGCTGCTATGCAGCACAGAGATGAGGTCCCTATTAACTGTCCGTGGTGCGAGAATCTTGGACACTGGAATCACGTGGTGTGGTTGTGTGACAACCGCCCGGTTAAACTTCCCTTCCCTGATTCTCCTGTTAAAGCCAGGTTTGGATGGGGAGCCTCACCTGAACAGGTGAACTGGATCACTCAGGCTGCTGCCGCTATTTGGAACACCCGTCATGCTGCTGCTGCGGCAAACTCTGCGGCTGGCTCTGCGGCTGGCGCTGCAGCCGAGGCTGCTGAATAGCCTTCACCTTGGCGCGTGAGCGCCTTTCATGCAGCGGTCGTGAGTCTCCGGCGCGGCTTCTGTTCAAAGACCTTCTTCTTCTGATCCGTGTCATTACTGCTATATTTTTGAAGGCGCCAGCGTATTTGCACCGATGAGTCACTATGGAGCAGTGAGTTGTTTTTGGAGGGTGGCAGCAAAGTAACAGCAGTATCGTTTGGCACCAAAGAACCCCGTGAGCCCACCAAAACTTGCAATTTTGCACCTTTTGATGGTTGTTTTCAATTTACCATATTCGCCAAACGGCGCGCAACGTGTCAGTTCAATGCATGGTCACCAACAAATATGCGAACTACCTTTTCGTGTTCGCTTTGTTTCCCAAGTTTGATCTGAGCCACGCTTTTACAGTTGCTCACTTCCGATGTTCATGCCATGGTGGCAACTTCCATTGCTGCAGGATACCTTGGATGCTGCGCAGAATGATGCGGAACTGCAGACGCTTGGAGTTGGCCTTTTTTTGACCAGTCAACAGCAGTGACTGAACCGTGCCCGTTACAAGTCGATAATTCATTTGCTTATTTTAAACAGTTGCCGTAAGTACCTGGCAGTCAGGACATGTGCTAGTAAAGCCGTCGTTTGAGCAAGTGAAATCGTGCAGCTAGAACCGGTGAAGTGCAATTTGCTTGATCGGTTGTTAGTCTTAATAGCCCCGTATGTAATGTACACATTGTCTCAGTTTTGGTTTTATGTTTGCAGGTTGGTGCTTGTTTTGGTTGATTTTAACAAAGGTGTTTTGTTTCAACATTGAGTGATGGAGACAAATCTGAGGATGACTCTTTTCAAGGCTCCCAGTGAGTGGTGCGTGATTAGTTTCCAAGCAGGGATTTGCATTTGAAGGATCTGAATATGATCCACATGGTGACGGATCAGGTAAAGCAAAATCAATTGCGAAATTTCTAGATAGATAGATAGATAGATAGATAGTTAGATAGATAGACAGATAGATAGACAGATAGATAGACAGATAGATAGATAGTATGAGGTATATTTCTGGGTAAACCTCTTCTTCTACACACGAAAATTCCCGACACTGATGCGAAGGTGGATTCTGCACGCTGACCGTCAAAATATGTGTGGACTTTATGGTTCAATCTGGTTCAATTGACTTTGTAATCGGAAAAAGTGATTACCAGTACAAATCAAACCCTGTCTGTGTTGCTGACAACAAGGTATGTTATAACTGCCTAGCAAACAAAATTAACGAGCAAGCAGCTCGTGATTTGGGCAAGGATCAAAAAACATTAAAGGCAAAGAACAGAGGAATCGCCACTATTTAAACTAGACCGCGGATGGCCCGAGAGCGTAGAGGAGCATAGTGAGAGGTTTAGGTATGAAGATCTTATAGCATGAAGCATAAATATATAAATATACGATGATGCCGAAAATGAAATACATGGCGCAGACATGTTGTGAAGAGTAGGTACTTATGAAGACATTGAAGGAGAGATAAAAGAAAGATGAAACGAAGGAGACACAGGAAGAAGATTTCAGACGGGCATTTTTACATACAAGCATGCTAATACATACAAACATGACTCACACACAACTGTGCTTTCATACAAAAAATACATAGACTGTATCACACACACGCATACGCTTTTACATACAGACGTTTTACACGCAAACACCATAGTGATAGGTGCCATGATCACCACCATCATCATCATCACCATCATCATCATTCATCATGAGAATCATCATCATCATCCTCATCATCATCATCAGCATCAGCATCCTCATCCTCATCATCACCATCATCATCATCACCACCATCCTCATCATCCTCCTCATCATCCTCATCATCCTCATCCTCACCCTCATCCTCACCCTCATCCTCATCCTCATCATCACCATCACCATCACCACCGTCATCAGCATCACCATCCTCATCCTCATCCTCACATGATACCTGTTACACACACAGAGCTGCTTTTACACACCACGGCTTTTACATACAGAGGCTTTTAAACAGAAGCACTTGTACACAGACACACTTTTACACACAAGCCCCTTTATTCAAAGATGCTTTTACACACCAACACTTTTACAAAGAAATCTTTTCACACACACAGACGCTTTCACAAACAGTTTCGCCCACAATCCCTTTTACACGCCAATGCTTTTACACACAGACGCTTTTGCACACAAACCCTTCTGCACACAAACCCCTTTCGCACACAAACACGTTTACACGCAAACACTTTTAAACACATATTCTTTACCACACCAACACTTTTACACACATTCGCTTTTACGCACAAACACCGTTACACACAACAACTTTTACACACAGACGCTTTTGCGCAAACGCTTTTACACAGAAACTCTTCTACACACAAACACTTTTACACGCAAACACGTTTACACGCAAACCCTTTTACACACACTTTTTTACACACAAACACTTTCACACGCAACCCTTTTACACACAAACACTTTTACATACAGACGCTCTTACACACAGACCCTTTCGCACACTATCACTTTTACACACACTTTTATACACAGACGCTTTTACACACAAACACTTTGACACACAGGCCCTTTTACACACAGGCCCTTTTAAACACAAACACTTTTACACGCAGAGGCTTTACACACAAGCGCTTTTACACACGGACGCGATTATTACACACAGACGCTTTCACACACAGGCCCTTTTACACACAACCACTTTTCCACGCAGACGCTTTTACACACGCGCACTTTTACACGCAAACACTTTTACACACAACCCCCCTTCACACATAAACTGTCACACACAACCCTTTTACACTCAAACGCTTACACACCCTCACTTCTACACACAGACCTTTTACACACCAATGCTTCCACACACAAACACTTTTACACACAGACGCTTCTACACACAAACGATCACAAACGCTTTGACACACAAACGCTTTGACACACAAACGCTTTTACACGAAAACGCTTTTACACATAAACGCTTCCGCAAGATAAAACACTTTTACACACAAGGCAGAACAAGGCGAAAGCGTTACTGCCGGACCAACCAAGTTCGCAAAAAAAAAACATCAGCGTTTGACACTCGAACCTCGTTTCGTTCGAAAGGGTTGCCGCCGAGCATGTAAAATCGCAAAAATCCAGCAGTTTTTGACACTCGAACCTCATTTCGTTCGACCGAGTGGCCATATATCGTGGCTCCTCGTCGGCACTGCCTGCGGCCTCAAGAGAGACAAGAAAAAGAAGGAGAGAGAGACCGTGACAGAGGGCAAGAGAGAGAGAGAGAGAGCTGAGAGAGATAGAGAGAAGATGTGAAGATGTGTGTATGTGAAGGTAAGAGGATGTGAAGATGTGAAGATGTGAAGGATAAGAGCGAGAGAGAGAGAGAGAGAAGATGTGTGAAGATGTGAGGATGTGAAGATGTGAAGATGAGAAGGTGTGAAGATCTGAAGATGTGAGTATGTGAAGTTAAGAAGATGTGAAGATATGAAGGTGTGAGTTGGTGAAGATGAGAAGATGCGAGCATGTGAAGATGTGAGGATGTGAAGATTTGAGCATGTGAAGATGTAAAGCAGACCTCCACTTTTAGAAGAACTCTTCGCTCAGACGCTCTCGGGAATTAATAAATATCAAGCTTGTGGATTGTGGGGCGGGGTCTTCCATCCGCAGTACGCGGACCCTTGTGTCAAGCGAGAGATGTTCCGAATCTTTGACTTTAAATGGTTGACCTACTACTGGCAGAGTACTCTTCGATCATGCATGTGATGATACAACATATCATTGCCCGATGACCTGTATCTCATGCACTGTGTTGACACCAAGGATAAAAAATAATTTGCAGATGCGCCAGAGATATGTGAGCAAATTGGAGGCCATATTCAACGCCATTGATGATGGAGACCTGGTATGAGCTGATTTTGGCACGTTTTGGTTGTAAGTTGATTTCTATTTCCCCACCGTTGACTCGGGATATTCACCACGTAGTTACAAAGTGGGGACCCGAAATTCCTTTATTTTTAGCACCATCTATAAATAGATCTATTCCGCAAATTTTTGACATATTGTGGCAATAACAAACTAACCTATATATTTGGGGCCCGGCATTGTAATCTGCAGGCAGAGATTGTCTTTTTTCGAACGCAAAACCAAGGAGATGGAATGATCACCGAAGCAAAGCTAGATACCATCCTTGCCAATCCCAAGGTGGCTGACGTCTCGGATGTTTGGGCTTTCCAGGACTTATTGGTAAAACAAGTAGCTGTAACAAAATATATTTTTAAGACGGTTACATTACTTTAAATACCTGTAAGTGTTTCTTCAAAGAATAATATGATTTGTTGAAGGTTTAATCCCTTCCTCCTAATACTAAACCCCCCCCTAATACAAAACACGGCAGGTAGTTTTTAGTATTAGGGGGGTATTTATTATTAGGGAACCAAATCGAAGTCATGTTAATTAATTAATTAAATTTCCTTATATAACGCAATTAAAATATTGCCAAAAATGGCAGTTCGAAGCTTACCCCTAATACTAAATTAAAACCCTTAATACTAAAAACTATTTTTTCCGATCTCAAAATCAATTAAATTTCCTTATATAACGCAATTAAAATATTGCCAAAAATGGCAGTTCGAAGCTTACCCCTAATACTAAATTAAAACCCTTAATACTAAAAACTATTTTTTCCGATCTCAAAATCAATTAAATTTCCTTATATAACGCAATTAAAATATTGCCAAAAATGGCAGTTCGAAGCTTACCCCTAATACTAAATTAAAACCCTTAATACTAAAAACTATTTTTTCCGATCTCAAAATCAATTAAATTTCCTTATATAACGCAATTAAAATATTGCCAAAAATGGCAGTTCGAAGCTTACCCCTAATACTAAATTAAAACCCTTAATACTAAAAACTATTTTTTCCGATCTCAAAATCAATTAAATTTCCTTATATAACGCAATTAAAATATTGCCAAAAATGGCAGTTCGAAGCTTACCCCTAATTGCTAGAGTAGCCAGGCAGCTTGGAGTGAGGGATTGGGACTAGGCCCCCCTAATACTAAACACCCCGGGGTGAACTAGTTTTTAGTATTAGGGGGGAGAACCCACAAATGGTAGGTTGATTTTTAAATTGTTTTTTAAAGGGGATCAATTAAAAGTCAAATTGGCCAAACTGAAATTTTCGGAAATTGGAGATGGATGCCTGTTTTTAGTATTAGGGGGACGTTTAGTATTAGGAGGAAGGGATTAGTTATACCCGGCATCTAGTCTATATAATGTGTTCCCTTATCTGGATTGAAATTGAGACATGTTTTGGAGGGGGAAGACAAGCTAACCCCATATACACACACACACATACGTACCGTCAGGTAACCCCATGGTACTTTAAAATTCGCTCCACAACATATTTGGCTCATGGGTCTTTCTTCATCATGTCTGACTGGTCTTTCGCAGTTTGTTTTTTTTGTTTTTTGCATCTGCAGGTGTAGCTTATTAAAGCACAATGTGGGTTGATAAATTTGACCAAAAGCTATACACAACCTTCATCGTAAATATTGTGGGGATACAGTCTTTTGCACAACATGGCTAATCTTTGATACTTATGCGCGCTACTAATTGAAAAAAAATAACAATGACAATCAAACCCAAAAACATGAGGCATCCTTGCATGGTTGTGGGTAAATATGTTATTTATTTCCTTTTGGTGTTGTTTTGCTAAAAAGATAAAATGTTAAAATCGCAACAACCAAATCCGACATATATATAAACCCGAGGGTATTGATGTCAGTTTTTATGTGGCAATTTGTTTGTAGCCTTTAGCTGTAATGTGTTCAAACTTCCATGAAAAGTGTGTTTGCAATGGTTTGGGCATTCTTTTCTCTAGCCTCTGGGTTTAGACTATGTGGAAACTTGCATGAGCCAGTAACCAGCATCATGAAAATTACACACATGATGCCCCAACATCTGGTTTCAGGTATATGCCTGGTACCCTTCATTGCTTCATATTTTCTTTGCTGGGTTCTTTTTTCAATGTTCGGGTGCTCAATGGTTTGCTGTGTCGCATGGGGTTACCCTATGGCATGTGGGTACTACCTTGAAAACAGACCAATGTTTCTTGGTTGCTTGGCGCCCTGTGAATTCAAACAAAAACGGACTTGGGCCATGCCAAAGCAACAGCAACCAAAATAAAACCCAATTAAATGCGGCGGCCAAAAAACCCATTAATGGGGGAAAAGGAAAGGAACTGTGCTGGCCCAGTAGTGAGGTTTTTTTACAAAGCACATGTTCAGTCTTTGGCCATGTTAGGCCCTGGGCCAATTGTAGTCCAGACTGAAGCTGC